AAGAAATGTTTTTGGAATTTGGGATTCACATATATCAAACCGAGAAATGAAGCTGAAACGTCTTTATCAGTGTTTATAGTTGTTTTTATTTTTAATTATAGACGATATGGTTGAAATCGTTCTAGAGAGATAATTTCATGCAAATTTTATGATTAAGTCATTTTAATTAATTTGAAATATTTATATATATATATATATATATATATATATATATATATATATATAATGTAAGATTTACAGAGCTACAAAAAATTACTTACAAAAAATAGTATATTCACTATTTTATACAATTTTTATTTATAGCAACTTTAAATTTTAATTTATACACCACTATTATCATAGGTTACAAATTAATCTTTGTCTTAATAAATTTGGTTAACAAAATTTTTGAGATTATTTTTAAGCAAATGTAAATTTGAATTCACTCCAATAGATTTTTTTATTTATGTTTTAATTAAATTCTCTTCAACAAATATTCAAAATCAGCTATTCAGAAATTTGATAAGATTTCTGATTTAAATAAAATTTAAATTTTAATAAAGTATGCAGTCTCTAAGCTATTAAAAACGACAAATTATAATCAAAAATTTACAATAACCGTCAAAATCTAAGTTATAAAATATGGCATTGTTAAAAGGCGAACATTTTCGAATTCGAATTCTAATTTGAATTTTAAAGAATTTTGCAATGTTTAAATTTGAATTTTTGAAAATATATTTGATATAATTTTGATGCTTGTTTTATATGTTCATTGACATTCACTAAATTGAGATAAAACTAAATTCAAACAAAAAAATAAAAAGAAAAACAATAGAGTGAAAGTGTAAAAAAAATCTGTTTGAAATTTTTTTTTTATAATATAGTGACTACTGATAGAGAGTTATATTGCACTATTATTATATATAGTTTTCATAAGTATATTTATTAACTTCCAGTAAACTTAGAGTGATCGCAAAAAAATTCGAAAATGAAAATTTTTATATATCTTTACGTTTGAAAGGTTTCTGAACATTTTAACATACCTTAGAGTTTGGCATACTTTGTTAGAAAAAACTGGATGTTTGTGTGTGTATATGTATGTGTATGTGTGCCCGATTTGAGTAATTAAAAGAACATTTTATTTGTATTGACAAGATTAAATTTTTAGAGATCCAATAAAAAAAATGTGAAAAAATAATGCCATTTGGCGGTCAAAACTGAACATTAAACATATGTACATCGTATTAACAGATATTTCATTAAGATTATAGTAATAACTACAAATTTTGTGTACATTCATATGGGTTCTGTACCAATGTTCACACGTTAGCCGAATATGCGGCGCTTACGCGCTTTGATATTTCGGCTCCAAACCAGATATGCAGTGCGATTGCTTAAAAATATTCAAAATTAAAAAAACATAATATAAAAAAAATTAAAATATAAACGAAAATCAAATTTTTCAAAAAAGTCAATTTTAAATCAAAAATTTCAAAATTCATCCAAAATCTAATATTTTCAAAGTTTTGCAAAGTTTTTTTTTTAAGAATTTAGTTTACGGTACGGAAAGTTACTAGTCATTAATTAGTTTTTTTTTTTATTTTGCAGATTTCTGGGATCAGAGTCCTTATAAATGTTTATAAACACATTTCAAAAATAAAGTCAAGAACACGTTAGAATAAAATAGTCCAACAAATATCCTGATAAATACACAAAATCAAAGGATACAGATACTAAAATCCAGAACAAGTGAATAAAATCTATTAAAAAGTACAAGGACAAAAAAGAACTATTTTTTTTCGTTGCAGAAATTTTATAAGTGGATTGTTTTGTGGACCAAAGAAAGTGTTAACGGTGTCGTATAAAATGAGTTTGACCACAAAAAATAAAATTTTAAAGCAATTGATATTTTAACCAACAAATTTATTCGTTATAGTTCTAATTTGACTAATCAGTGACTAATAAAATTGGAACTGCCAATATAAAAAGAAGTTTCTTTCAAATTTTTGTTAGAGGTGATAATTACACAAATCCTTACAAGTTCCTTTATTGCTGAACAATATTAAAAAAAAAAACAAGCAATTGATTGTGGTCAAATAATTTGACTTGTAGTGATAGTGATCGTTTTTTGGGCGTTTTTTAAATCAGAATTTCTTTATCGTTTTTTTAGTGTTTTAGTATTTTAGTGTAAGTGTGTAGTTTTTTATCATGGTCATTCTAGTGTTTTAGTGAATTAGTGATATAGTGTTTTATTCCTGGTTCCTGGTTCCCGGTTCCTGGTTCCTGTCAGCCCTCTTCTGGAAATCACGAGGTGAGACATCGAATTTTACAACACTAATTAATTTCTTCATAATATGTTTAAAATTTACTAATATTTTTTTTTCTATTTTTCAGACAACAAATTGGTAACCGGGATGTTCCAGAAGAATCGGTGATTTTAATCAAAGGTCAGTGCATTTTTTGTCCTAGGCATGATTTCTAAGGGTGCGGTCACATGTCTCGTTTAGGATTCATTTAGGGTCGAATAATTATATAAATATTTTTTTATATCGGACCGTACCCTTTATACTAATTCACAATTTTTTTCCAGCCTAATAAAACAAAAATTTTAAAATAAAAGTGAGTGCATAGTGTAGTGTAGTAATAAAATTCGCGTAAATTTATTAAATTTTAAAATAAAAGTGTGAATTAAATTAATTTTGCATAATTTCGCGTAAAACAAAGTGCGTGTGTGTGTGAAAAACTTTTTTAAAACTTTTTTTTGACTCTGTTGCAATTTTGCGAAGAATGCTGATTTTTGTGGAATTTGAGGTAAGAACAAAGAGATGTATTAAATTTATTTAATCTAAGAGATATATATATATATATATATATATATATGTATTTTGAAATATGTGAGTTTGGTGTTGATATTATATTTTGATAGGTTATTTAAAATCGGGCAGTAACACCAAGTAAAGAAAAAAAACTAAAGTAGTTTTTAAGTACTTTATTTATCCATACGTTTCGGTCTTCATCGAGACCGTCATTCAGTGGAAAACTAAAAGATTTTATATGATGTAGGAGGAAATAATATAAAGTTATAACTTATATATAAGTACTTACAGGATTATTATACAAAAAATACACTACACTATTACACTTTGATAAACCAGGATTACAGTACCCGTGGAGAAAACTTTTCAATAAAAATACCATTAGAGTAGTTTTTAGTTCCGAAAACACTTTTTCAACTCTTTTTACAAAATTAAAATCAAAATTTAACCCGAGAATGTTAAGTAATCTAGTTTATAAGCTTAATTGTCTAGACTGTAATTGCGTCTACATAGGTGAAACTAGTCAGAACCTGCACAAAAGAACATCTCAACACAAAAACAATTCTAAAAATAAAAATCAGAACAAAACACAATTAACAGATCATATTAACCAACTCAAACATAACATTGATTTTTCCAATCCCACGATCCTACACTTCGAAAATAATTTATTTAAAAGACGATTTAGCGAAGGTTGCTTAATATCTTTACACAAGGATACAGCCATAAATTTAAGAACTGACAACAATTCGCTTTGCAATGACTATAAAATAACTCTCGACTATTTTCAAAAACGCCACCATATCTGAATGAAGCGTGTATTTTTATTACTTTATTATTTTACAAAAAACATATGTCTGCTGGTCTTTTTACACTTTCTCAAAAAATTGTAAACACAATTCATTCAGTTTTTAGACATCAGTCAACTTGTACACACTAGAATGTAAGAAAAAAAATTGTTCAAAAAAATTAATTAGTTTAAATGTTCCAATTATTAATAGCCTGGTTTATCACAGTGTAATAGTGTAGTGTATTTTTTGTATAATTAATCCTGTAAGTACTTATATATAAGTTATAACTTTATATTATTTCCTCCTACATCATATAAAATCTTTTAGTTTTCCACTGAATGACGGTCTCGATGAAGACCGAAACGTATGGATAAATAAAGTACTTAAAAACTACTTTAGTTTTTTTTTCTTTACTTGGTGTTACTGCCCGATTTTAAATAACCTATCAAAATATATATGTATATATATATATATATATATATATATATAAATAATGCAAACTTTTCGATTTTTATATAACTTAAAACTATACAATCATTTTAAAATTGTGAGCATTATTTAGATTAAATCTTAAAATTTCTAACATTCGTTTCCAAGTTTTATAAAGAAATTTTTGTTATCATTTACAACATATTAAAAACTTAATAAAGAAAGCTAATTTGTCACGACGTTAACAATTATCAATCGCATATATGATTTTATTATTATCAAGAGTCCGATTAGAAAAATGACTCTTACACATGAAAAAAAAAAGAATCTCAAAAATTATGCTTTTTTACATTTTTTTGAAAAATATTAGAAATTCGTATATATTGTAAAAAAATATATCCTTTATTTTTATAATTCAAACAAATTTTACATAATAAAATAAAAAAATTAAAATATTTCAACCTAAAAAATTTTTAATGATTAAAACAAATACACAAAATATAATGAATGTATTTTACAATTTCTGAAATAATTGTAATAAGGTTTTTTATTCAAATACAAATTTAATCAGGTCATATATAGAACCTAATTATTTATTATTTCTTAAATTGATTAAAGAGCAAAACAGCATCCTTGAAATTTTCTATTCTATTATTTTATCTATGTCAAGTACATATAATACAAAATGTAGATGAAAAGTTCTTTTATACTATCAACTTTTAATTTAGTCTATTTCAAAATGTTGCAAACAATATGAGTTATTTCTATAGATAGAAACAATTAAAAATGAATTTCTTGATTTACAAATTTAGTCAATCAATAAAAATGATTTTTTTATATAAAAATGAACACAACGATTAATTTTCAAATCAATTTATTACAAAAATCTTAAATAGTATAAAATAAATAATGTATGTAAACCTAATTAAAGCTTTTTAATTTTGACTTAGAAAAATATTTTTGTTTATATTGTCCAAATTTTTTTTCAACCTTTGATAGCAGTTGCAACCCCTGCAACACCTTGTGCAGCTGGTAAAACTTTTTCAGTGGCGTGCAGGACACGTTTTCCTAAACGTTCCTGAAAAAAAAAATAGAAATATAAACATATTTTCAACTTACTGCTCAAGCTTTGTCTATGATAAGGATTGAAATAAAAATATTTTATACAGAAAATTTAAAAAAATCATAAATTTACCTAAAAATATTATACAAAAATAGTATAAATTATCTATGAATTAAATTGAAACTTGGAGTGAAAAATTTACAAAATTTAATTATACTTGCATACATAATTACAAAAATTGTTGTAGAATTAATATTCGTAGTCTTACAAAATACAATAAATAATTTTTGTTTGATTTAAGAACTAAAAATACAAATAACTTTCTATATATTATTTTTCTTACCAATTTTTTGCCAAATTTCCATTTTGCTTCTGAAGGCACTGCCAATAAAGCAAAAACAACACACAGGACGAAGACAATGTTGAATAATTTCATCTATATAAAAAAAAAACAAAAAAAAAAGCAATTAGATGAAGTATAAGATTATTCAAAATTTTTTCTATTTGATAATTGCTATTCTATAAAATTTATTTAAAAAAGTACATACAAATTCTATGCAAAAATTCACAAAACAATTGCAAAATTTCACAAAACAATTGCAAAATTCAATATGAAACACTTCTCGTAAAATTTAAAATAATATTTATAGTTTTTATTTTCATAATAATATTTTGTAGCACTCACCTTGATTGATTTTAGTTTATTTAAAATATTTTATTAATAAATGGTTTTAAATTATACCGAGTGTTATCACAATGTTAGAAAATATTGTAGATAATTTGAACAAATTTGTCAAACATTTTGTTTAAATTAAATAAACCGTTTAGAAGTTACAAAAAATATAGTGAATAAATACAATGGAAACTGAATTAAGTAAATGTTCTACTAATATTATGAATCAATGCACTGGAAACTGAATTAAATCGAAGTTCTACTTCCAATGTCGATTTTAGAGTATACCAAGTTGACGTAGATCATTGCGATATTAGAAACAATTATAAAAAATTTAATTTTGAACAAATTATCCGAATATTTTAACTAAATTAGACAAACCGTTTAGAAGTTACAAAATTTATAACAAAAAAAAATGCATTATAAATAAATTAATATAAATGCAGGCGTGAATGACTCTACCAACTATTTTGAGTTAAAAAATTAAATTGAAATTTAAAATATTTTATTACTTCTTTACCACTTACCTTGATTGATTGTATTTTATTTAATCACAAATAAAACTGTAATATATTTTTTATTATAAGTAACTTGTTCTTTACTCTTAAGTGAACTGGTGTCTGATTCAACTTCCACATTGTCTTTTATACTATCAAAATTCCTTAAAGGGGATTTACTCCAATTTTATAAGGAAATACAAATGTGAATAAACCAGAATTGATATTATTAATGAGTAATGTCGGTTTTTGGGATTCACAGACAGAAAGATCAATAAACGTGCCGGGTTATCTCTAACGCTGTTGCAATTGTTTGTTTTTGTATGGGAGATAGTGCGAGAGTCGGTGTCAAAAATGTAAACTGAAATTAAAATTGTTCGAGTTTTTTTTTATTAACTATGAATTTAGTATGTTCTAATATTACTTTTATTTTTGTTTATAATTTTTTTCCTTGACATTTTTATTCGGCATTTAAATTAATGTGCATAACATTTGAGTTATACTGACAACTTGAGTTCGAGTTTTTGTTATACATTGCCTGTAAATTAAATTGCTCTTGCAGGATATTTATTTTGAAATAATTTTATAGTTTTCACAAAATTTTTACAGATTTGCAAATCGGACTACAGACTTTTAATAAGAAATTTGGAATTGAAAACCGGTTTTTAGACCTGTAATCCGATTTTTAGACTTAAAAATCGATTTTTGGACTTGCCAACCGATTTTTGGACTTCAAAACCAGCCTCCAGACTTGCAAACTGATTTTTTGACTTCCAAACCGTATTTTAGAGAATTATTTCAATATTAATTTTTACAACAATTTTCTAGACTCTTAAGCCGATTTCCAGACTTTGACCAATTCGTATATTTCTAGTCTCATTTGTAAACTTTTTAACCGATGTCTACATTCTAAGAACAATTTATAGATTCCTGAAAAGATTTTCTAAGCTTCTAGATTTTTTTTTAGTTTTTTCAACCAATTTTTAGACTTTTGAAACGTTTTTCGAAATTCCTAAACCGTTTTTACACTTACAAATCAATTTATAGACTCTCCTGAAGCGATTTGTAGACTGATGAAGCAATTTTTAGATTCCTGAAGTGATTTTTAGACTCCTGATGTGAATTTTAGGCTTCTAAACCGATTTTTTGGCTTTTAACTAATACTTAAACATTTGAACGGATTTTTAGGCTTACAAACCGAATCCTTGCCTTTTGAACCGATTTTTAAACTTTATAACCGATTTTTAGACTTTATAACCGATTTTTAGTCTTTATAACCGATTTTTAGTCTTTATAACCGATTTTTAGTCTTTATAACCGATTTTTTGACTTCTAAACCGATTTTTTGACTTCTAAACCAATTTTTAGGCTTTTAAACCGATTTTTAGGATTTTAAACCGATTTTTAGGCTTTTAAACCAAATGAACCAAATTCTGGACTTTCTAACCGAATTCTAGACTTTCTAAATTTTCGATTCGATTTCCAGGTTTTTAAACATATTTTGCAATTATACAATTATAAATATGTTACTAAGAATAAAGTCTTAGAAACTAACATATACAATCTAGAATTTATCTAGAATCTAGATAGTCCTACTAAATATGTTTGTTTTATAAAGAAAACCAAATTCAAGCTATTTATATACATTTATTATCTAATGTTAATATGAAATTATTTTCAAGTTTTATATGCAATTTTTTTCTTATTTAAAATATAAAATTATTTTTTAATTATTTAAATTTTTGTGATTTTTTTTAATTTTTAATACTATTATTTAAATAAAAATCAATGTTGTAGATTAATTCACTTATAAGAAAAATTAATTCACACTAAAAGAATAGTTGATGAAACATTCTAAAATTTCCTAAAATTCTTTGCAAAATCTTTCTATAAAAATTTCAATATAGTTATATTTAATTAAAATAAATTGAAATAGATTTGATTTTTAAAATCTACTTTAAACTTTATCGAATTTTGTAAACTACACATGTCACAAACTATTTACGTATATTTCAACAAAATAAATGCAAATCTCATGATTTTTCAACTACTGTCTCTTCAATAAAAAAAATTCGTACAAAATCATTTCTTATATAAAAAACTGAATATCCTCTACACCCAGCCCTCATACTATACTACATTTTATCGTTGTGTACATATTTTAAACGTATCGTACGAGTCAAAATGTCAATAAACTTTACATACAATGGAACAGAGAAATTCCCCTACTACTACTGCAACTACTACTACAAATACTAAAACTAAATATATATATATATATATATATATATATATATATATATATATATATAATAGTTCCTATACAAGTGGGACTAATAAAACTCGATCATAGAAACGTCGGTGCCGATGTTTCATATTACAATTTCAAGTCGGAAAAGTTTTGTTTGTGAATTTTATATTAGGAATTCTTCACTGAGATGAATAATTCCAGCCGGGTTCAGTTTTAATGAAAGTAGTACGGTGGAGGACGGTGGAGGACGGTGGAGGAATAAATAGTTTTGATAAAAAATGTTTTAAATAAATAATGTTTTAAATAAATAATAAATTAATATTTAGAATTTATCACATACTATGTATATAGATGTGTGTAAATTATTTTGAAAAATGGATTTTACAATCCAGTGCTTTAAATTCCGTTATCACTTTTCCCAGAATGAATGAGTAACCAAAAAGTGGTGATTTACTTTTTTTTTTGTTCTTCCTCTTTTCTAATTAATCATTTCGTCGTCGCTAATGATTAATGATTAATGAGTGTTGACGTTTTTGCTTGATGTATATATATAATCATCACTGTGACCTTTTATCGACCTCGAATAGAGCGGGAGCCAGTGACCCGATCGTATAATAATATAATGTTGAGTACAAACATGAGATAGCAAAGAATTTGTAATCGTGGAAATTTTTAGGATGTTGTATAGATTTTTTTCAGGCCATTGTGCCAAAATTTTCGTATTTAGTCAAGTTTTTAAGATGTTCAGTAAAATGTTCAGGATATTTAGCCGGAGAGTTTTGAACCGATTTTTTAGCATTTCGAACAAATCAAATTTTGAACAGACCTTTACACTTTTGAACCACCTTTTGATCGAATTTTAGACTTTTGAATCGAATTTCAAAGTTTTGTACCGAATTCTAGACTTGCAAATCTGAATTTTAAATTTGTAAACCTCAATTTTAGACTTGTGAACTTTAATTTTCAACTCCCCAACCAAATTTTTGTCTTGAAAACCTCAATTTTAGACTTTTCAACCGAATTTTAAAATTGTAAATATTAATTTTAAACTTGTGAACCTCAATTTTAGACGTGTAAACCACAATTATATACTTTTAAACTTTAATCTTAGACTTTTAATCCACAATCCTAGACATTTAAACTTCAATCCTAAATTTTTAACCTCAATCATAAACTTTTCAACCTCAATTTTAATCTTGCAAACCTCAATTTGGCACTTTTCACCTAAATTTTAAAATTGTTAACCTTAATTTTAGATTTGTGAGCTTTATTTTTAAACATGAACATCAATTTTAGTCTTATAAGCGTCAATTTTAGACTTGTAAACCTATATTTTCAAATTATAAATATTTTTAGACATGTAAACTTCATTTTAGCCCTGTGACTCTCATTTTAACTTTGAACCTCATTATAACCTTGTGAACCTTATTCCTCTTTCCTGGACTTGTAAACTTTAATCTTAGACTTGTACATTTTGATTTTAAACCTGTAAGCCTCAATTTTAGAATTGTAAACCTAAATCTTAGACTTGTAAATTTTGGTTTTAAACTTTTAAACTTCAATTTTAAATTTGTAAACCTTAATTTTAGACTTGTGAACCCCAATTTTAAACTTTTCAACCAAATTTTATACTTGTAAAACTCATCTTTGCTTTGAAAACCTCATTTTAGACTTGTGAACCTCATCTTTCAACTTGTATACCTCATTTTTTGAATTGTAAACCTTGTTTTGGACCTGTCAACATCATTATAGACTTGTAAACCTCTTTTTAGACCTGCAAACCCCTTTTTAGACTTGTCAAACTCATTTTAGACTTGTCAAACTTATTTAAACTTGTAAACCTCATCTTTGGACTTGTAAACCCCTTCTTAGACTTGTAAACCTCTTTTTAGACTTGTAACCCTTATTATGGATTTTTAAACATCGCCTTGACTTGTAAACCTCATTCTGAACTTGTAAACCTCATTCTGAACTTGTAAACCTCATTCTGAATTGTAAACCTCATTCTGAATTGT